AGCAGCAGCAGCAGCAGTAATGAGCAGTAGTAGCATTTATATAAGGGCAAGAGACAGACAGACAGGTGAACAGAGACGCCGGCAGAAAGGCAGATAGGCTTGAGAAAGTAAAAACGGGAGCGATGGGCAATGTGCACCACACAAAGAAGTTAACTCTGTTCTAGTACTGTAAATGTGTCTCTAAATTTAAAATTTTAAGCTGCACTTAATAGTTAACTTATGACCTTGCCTCCACAAAATACAACCAATTGCAGTTAAAACAAGAATATTATCCTGCATATAGTTCCTTTGATAAGTCAATGACGATTTGAATTTTAAATCAATCTTTCTCTCTTTTCTTCAAAGCTTAATCAAACCAACAATTGTTCGTGAGCATACAAAAAGAATGATATAACTATTTATAGGTCTGTACCTGAAACTTACGTGCGTCTAAGCCAAAACTTAAGTCCAGCACTGTTCCACAATTTCTCCTTGGCGACGCGGAAATGAAAGTCGGTGAAGGCCCGAGTTAGAAAAGTGAAATCAGCTGACTCTCTCACTCTATTCTTAGCACTGGCAGTTATAGTGACAGACTGTGACAGGACGGTACCGGCGGGCCAGCCCGACTGCTATCTATCTCTCTCTGTGTGTGTGTGTGTGTGTGTGTGTGTGTGTGTGTGTGTGTGTGTGTGTGTGTGTAGTGTATGGGAAGACACAGGCTAGCTGTCGTGCAGTTCTCGAACAAAGCTGGTTTCCCTGCAGCAGTTCTTTATCACCTCGAAAGTAACATGGAAATTAATACTCTGTGGTTGTCAGTGGAAGGCACTGGGGTGTTTACCAGGAGAGAAATTATTGTGTTGTTTTGTTTCGTGTCCTACTTTCTGTCCTCAACTGAACTTACTCAGTAGGAAGGAAGAGATGGCTCCTATCCCATACCTATACGTTCTTTTATACTATTTGATGAGTTTCTGTACGTTTAGCTCATATCTGGTGGTGTTTGATGGAAAACACTCCCGAGCACTCAAGATGCTGAAGAAAAAACGCCCCTCTGTGTCCTGCTTGCTGGAATCCGGTATTCTAAATATCTTTTCTCCTCAACTGAAATAAAAAATACATCGGCTGGTATCCTTCGGACCTTTAAATAAGGGTCACTCTGATGAGGGTGGGTTGAAAAGAATGAAAACCAAGGTCACTATCTCTTAATAATTTCAGTCAGGTTTCTCTTACTAACTCGAGAATAAGACAGATGCAACGCCTGTAAACTATAATATTATTATGCTTTAAGGAATACGATCAGGCTGTCCCTTAGTCCTCGAACACGATCATTCCGAAGTGTTTTTCTCCTACGCAAGTGCAAAGCACGCGATGACCTCCAAGTGTTCACTCATGTCTACAGGCTCTCGACAGTTGTTTAGTAGCCTACATACGTCTACAGTCTACATACGCCGTGGGTGGTGAAGGCACGACGAAGCCTATGCACGTTCAGCAGTGTTAATTGCCGCCTGTGTTGAACCCCACGACACTGTGCGAATGTCAGTGCTATGATGAAGTGTGATTGTGTGTGTGTGTGTGTGTGTGTGAGAGAGAGAGAGAGAGAGAGAGAGAGAGTGTGTGTGTGAGAGAGAGAGAGAGA